GGGGCCCTGGTGGAGATTTTAACCAACAAGGAGCAATCGCCATTTGGTACCCAGAGACTCAATGAATTTCTGGAGAAGAAACAGGAGGAAATGGATTTTGTCAATTCCTACCTGGCTGAGCTAGTGGAGGTGGAAGTCGTATCCTCCAGGAGTGAGCTACAACACATAGTTCTCAGCCCCAGGCATGAGTTTGTTGTGTCTCTTTCATTCACTTCATTGCACAATGAGGAATCCTATTTATCAGAATTGAACCTTTGGCTGCGGAGACAATTTATGAAGAACATTCATGTTCCAGCATTAGCCAGTTCTGCCTGTGAGACACCAAAATCCAAACAGTGGTTTGAGGATGAAGAGATAAGAAGAAAAGCACGACAAGCCGTAAAGTCCTTCTCCGGCTTTGCCCGTGTCAATAAATCTAACGGGAAGACTCGGTTTATTGTGGCATCTGTTCCAAACAAGGACAATCCAGGGGCTTCGATTTACCTGTATGCAGATGGAGAGCTGGTCAGCACCAACTTTGAGCCTCCATCAAAGCCTCTTCCTCCCCTGATTGGTGGAATCAGACATGACCGTGTGCAGCTCACGTTTAACCCAGCAGCCTATGGCAGGGCTGCGATATCCGGCTATCGGGCAGAGTACAGAATTGTAGGGCAGGAGAACTGGACGGCTGTGACTGTAAATAACACACATGGGACGTTCACAGTAACAGGGCTACGTGCAAAGACCGAGTACCAGTTCCGATACGCTGCCGTGAGCAAATCAGGGCTCAGCGAGAGCAGCGACGTGAGTGATCCTGTGAAGACTCTTCCCCCTACCAGCCCACCTGGGAAGCCCGTTACAGTTATTGGAGGTTCATCTGCCATCACCCTCACCTGGGAGAGTCCAAGTGTCACTGGAGATGGAGTCAGTATAAGGGAGTATAAGGTGGAATATAAAGAGAAAACAGGAAATATGAGTCAGGAGGGGAAAGACAAATGGCTGGAACGAAGGTCAGGAAGGAGAACTGAATCTTTTAATGTTAAAGGACTGAGGCCTGAGACGCCCTACAGATTCCGAGTGTCGGCTGTGTGTGCGGATGGGGCTGTGAGTGACCCAAGTGAGGAGACTCTGATTTCAACGCTAAAGGAAGGTAAACACTTAAATATGTTTCCATATTCTTCCTTCAAATATAGGACCTGGAGGTGGCTGATTCAGGTAAAACTACACTTCTCATTGGAGAGAGACTGAGAGCTCAGTTGTGGAGTGTAGAAGTAACTTCAGAATCAACCTATTTTTATGGTGGGTTATTATTTGCATTGCAGTGGTGTCTTCATGACCCAGTCAGTCTTGGGGCTCCATGGTGCTAGGCAAAGTACACAGACATAGAGCAGACAGTCCCTGTTCGGAAGAGCTAACAATCTAAATAAACAGGACAGACATAGGCTGGGAGAGAGGGAGTATTATTGTCCCCATTTTACAGATGGAGAATTGAGCCCCAGAGAAATTAAGGTTCAGATCTACAAAGACACTTAGGTGCCTAAACACCAGATTTAGGCACCACTGCAACCCACTAAACCCCTGCTTGGCTACCGCTGAAACCTGTAGGTGTCTACATTTTCAGGGTAAAACTTTCCTACACACCTAAGTTTCTGTTCCTGGGCATGTGCTCTCTGGCCTTACTCTGCCTATCTCCTACCTAAGCCCCAGCATGATCCACAAACCAGTGGATAAACTCCTATCTTTCCTTGAAGGGCCCAACCTGGTAGACGTGCTCTGAGCAGGACGACCGCATCGGGCCCCATTCCAATTCCAGCTGAAGGAGGGGGTGGTGATGCTCACATGTGACTTTTAGCACAGTGGCTAAAGCACACACTTAGGATGTAAGAGACTCTGGGTTCAAATCCCCCTTCTCCTTGAGGCTGGGAGCAGGGATTCGAACTGGGGTCTCCCACACCTTACTCAGGAGAAAGTGTGAACCGCTGAGCTATGGGATATTCTGATGGGTGTGTTGGTGGGTCTCTCAAACTCTCCTGTTGAAGGGTGTGACGGAGTCACAGGCCCGATGCTCTGGAACTGCTCTGTATGAAGCCAGCCAGGACTCCGCGTAGCGCGACTCCCCTCAGGGCTGTCCAGGGCAAGGAGCCTGCTTGGCTTCGGCCTTCCTGGTCTGACCTCGGAGCATTCAACATCCCTGTTCACACTTCCCCTTGGTGGCTGAGCCAGCGGGCCCCGCACCCCAACTCCACAGTCAGCAGTGCCCCTCAGCCAGCATTGCAAAGCAGGAGGGTTTACTGGTCAGCAGGAACACAGCGTAGAACAGAACTTGTGAGCACAGAAGTCAGTGACTTTCAGCAGAGTCCATCTTGGGGGGACCCCAGGCCAGATGGCCTGGACTCCCCCTCTTACAGTCCTCCCCAGCAGACTGCCCTGGATCCCCCTGCCTGGCCTCTAACACGCCTGTTGCTCCTCCTCTGGTCTTTGTCCTGCTCCCCGGGCAAAAGGTGTCACATGGGCGCATCCCCCTCCCAGGTCTCAGGTTACGAAGGGGGTCGGCCATCACCTACGTGCAGACAGCTGGGCAGCCTCACCTGCCCTGAGGGGCTCAGCAAAAATCTCACACCTTTATCTCCACCACCTAGGCATTGGTGCAGTACACAGGGAAACTGAGGCACACACAGTATTAGCATAGGACAGTAAGACTCACATGCAACATAACAAGGTGAATAAAACCCCACTTTGTCACAAAGGGATTCATCTTTGGATAAATAAAGAGTCATTGGAGCAGGGGGACTGGATCCTGGTTCTCCCACCGCCTCGGTGAATTCAGTCTCACAAGAAACTACGTAGGTGTCTAAGGCAACTGACTCCAGGAGAGCAGTTCCCAGCTGTGAATTGTTAGTAGATGGGGGATAGCTCAGTGGTTTGAGCATTAGCCTGCTAAACCCAGGGTTGTGACTTCAATCCTTAAGGGGGCCATTTGGGGCAAAAATCTGTCTGGGAATTGGTCCTGCTTTGAGCAGGGGGTGGGACTAGATACCTGCTGAGGTCTCTTCCAACCCTGATATTCTAAGTGTCTCCCTGGAGTGTGGTGCCCATCTCCATGAGAGGGGTGGGGCATAGCAAACAACCCTTTTGGCTCCTTGCCTAGCATATAGGCTTTTGTGGACCTCATTCCTAGGTGCCATTCTCTCCCCATGCATTTTATAAGGAATCTAGATGCCTAGCTCAGGCTTTGTGGATCCAAGTGATTTTCTAAGTGTCTAAACGTTAGGCACCACAACACTTAGGCCTGGTCTACACTACGAGTTTAGGTCGACTTTAGCAGCGTTAAATCGAATTAAGCCTGGACACGTTTACAGGACGAAGCCCTTTCTTTCGACTTAAAGGGCCCTTTAAACCGGTTTCTTTACACCACCTTCGACAAGGGGATTAGCGATAAAATTGGCCTTTGCGGGTCGGAATTGGGGTAGTGTGGACGGAATTCGACGTTATTGGCCTCCGGGAGCTATCCCACAGTGCTTCATTGTGACCGCTCTGGACAGCACTCTCAACTCAGATGCACTGACCAGGTAGACAGGAAAAGCCCCGCGAACATTTGAATTTCATTTCCTGTTTGCCCAGCGTGGAGAGCACAGGTGACCACGCAGAGCTCATCAGCACAGGTAATCGTGATGGAGTCCCAGGATCGCAAAAGAGCTCCAGCATGGACCGAACGGGAGGTACGGGATCTGCTCGCCATATGGGGAGGTGAATCAGTGCTGGCTGAACTCCGTAGCAGTAAAAGAAATGGCAAAATATTAGAAAAAGTCTCCAAGGCCATGAAGGACAGAGGCCATAACAGGGACACACAGCAGTGCCGCGTGAAAATTAAGGAGCTAAGGCAAGCCTACCACAAAGCCAGAGAAGCAAACGGAAGGTCCGGGGCAGAGCTGCAAACTTGCCGCTTCTACGCGGAGCTGCATGCCATTCTAGGGGGTGCAGCCACCACTACCCCACTGTGTGCTATGACTCCATCACTGGAGAAACACACAGGGAAGCGGGTTCTGGGGACGAGGAAGATGAGCATGAAGATAATGTAAATAGCTCACAGCAGCAAGGAAGCAGAGAAACCGGTTTCCCCAACAGCCAGGATATGTTTGTCACCCTGGACCTGGAACCAGTAACCCCCGAACTCACCCAAGACCCTGTGGGCACACAGGGGACCTCTGGTGAGTGTACCTTTGTAAATATTACACATGGTTTAAAAGCAAGCGTGTTTAATGATTAATGATTAATTTGCCCTGGCAATCGCGGCCAGTACAGCTACTGGAAAAGTCTGTTAACGTGTATGGGGATGGAGTGGAAATCCTCCAGGGACATCTCCAGAAAGCTCTCCTTCATGTACTCCCAGAGCCTTTGCAAAAGGTTTCTGGGGAGGGCTGCCTTATCCCGTCCGCCATGGTAGGACACTTTACCACGCCAGGCCAGTAGCATGTAGTCTGGAATCATTGCATAACAAAGCATTGTAGCGTATGGTCCCGGTGTTTGCTGGCATGCAGACAACATCCATTCCTTATCGCTCTTTGTTATCCTCAGGAGAGTGATATCATTCACGGTCACCTGGTTGAAATGGGGTGATTTTATTAAGGGGACATTCAGAGGTGCCCGTTCCTGCTCTTCTGAACAGAAATGTTCCCCGCTGTTAGCCACGCGGTGGGGGGAGGGGTGAAGTGATCATCCCAGAGAATTGGGTGTGTGCGGGGGAGGGGGTTTAGTTGGGTTTGTGCTGCATGTTAACCCGGAAACCGCAGCCCCTCCTTTTACATTGAAAACCCATTTTAAATGGCCAACCCAATTCATCCTTGATATGGGAAATGAGGGCGCTGCTGTTTGAAACCATTCCCACATGTTAAGAAGGTTAAAAAAGCCAAAAGACTGTGGCTTACCATGGCTGCCTGCAAGCCGAAATCTGTTGCCTGGCACTGCGTGAGTGATCTCTCACACCAAACCAGCAGGCCCTCAATATAAGAGGAAAAATGCGACCTTGTAACGAAAGCACATGTGCTGTGTAATGTGAACAGCAAAATTTAACGTGAAAGAGTGTACCCATTGTTCTCTAAAATGTGTCTTTTTTAACCACCTCTCCCTTCTCCTCCACCAGCTGCAAATGTTTCTCCTTCACAGAGGCTAGTGAATATTAGAAAGAGAAAATGGAGGACGTGGGACGATATGTTCACGGAGCTCCAGATGTCCTCCCACGCTGATAGAGCACAGCAGAATGCATGGAGGCAGTCAATGTCAGACATGAGCAAAGCACAATATGAACGAGAGGAGAGGTGGTGGGCTGAATCGCGGGATGAACAGAGCAAGTGGCGGGCTGAAGATGATAGGTGGTGTCAGCTTGCTGACAGAAGGCAAGAGTCGATGCTCCATCTGCTGGAGCATCAAACTGATATGCTCCAGCGTATGGTTGAGCTGCAGGAAAAGCAGCAGGAGCAGAGACCGCCGCTACAGCCCCTGTGTAACCAAGAGCCCTCCTCCCCAAGTTCCATAGCCTCCTCACCCAGACGCCCAAGAACATGGTGGGGGGGCCTCCGGCCACCCAGTCACTCCACCGCAGATGATTGCCCGAGCATCAGAAGGCTAGCCTTCAATAAGAGTTAAAGTTTTAAAATGCAGTGTGTCCTTTTCCTTCCCTCCTCCCCCGCCCATCCCAGGCTACCTTGGCAATTATCCCCCTAGTTGTGTGATGAATTAATAAAGAATGCATGAATGTGAAGTAACAATGACTTTATTGCCTCTGCAAGCGGTGCTCAAAGTGGGGAGGGGAGGGTGGGGTGGTTGGTTTACAGGGAAGTAGAGTGAACCGGGTGGGGGCGGGGTGGAGGGTGCATCAAGGAGAAACAAACAGAAGTTTCACACCGTACCCTGGCCAGTCACAAAACTTGTTTTCAAAGCTTCTCTGATGCGCACCGCGCCCTGCTGTGCTCCTCTAACCGCCCTGGTGTCTGGCTGCGCGTAATCAGCGGCCAGGCGATTTGCCTCAACCTCCCACCCCGCCATAAATGTCTCCCCCTTACTCTCACAGATATTGTGGAGCGCACAGCAAGCAGCAATAACAATGGGGATATTCTTTTCGCTGAGGTCTGAGTGAGTCAGTAAGCTGCGCCA